TTTCTTATAATTTGCCTAAAAAAACATGCGGTAATCGTTGAAATACTATATTCATTTTAAAAATAACAGAAAACAGACTAAAAATCTTGTGATACTGTATTATGACAATATTGTATAATATATTAATCATTACTTCAAAATTTTAAATATTTTTACAATTCTATACTTGAAAATTTTTTAAGTATAATTAACCAATAAATAATTTGTAATATATATATTTACTTATTTATTCCTATGTATTTTTAATCTTCTTTATGACTGGAGAGTCAAACGGAGAATAGTTATTTAATTAATGAATTAATATAAGAATTTAAATTTGTATGAAAATTAGATTTTAGATCTTTATGAAGATTTTTTGTGTTAAAGTTCCAAGAAGAGAGGGTGTTATTTATTATAAGTAGATAGATCGAAACTCTTAAAGCATTTTAGTAAGATTGTAAGAGATAATTTTCAGAACCTCATAGCTAAATTCATACGTCCATATGACTCATATTATTGACTAATATAATAGTAAGTTTATTGGATAAAGAGTTGACTGTTTTTATATGTTTGTCCCAGGTTAAGCATTTATCCAGAGTTATAGACCAAGATATTTAATTTTTCGTTGTAATTATTTGATTATTAAACTTACATGTACCTAATGAATTAAGATTTCTTATAGTAAAAACTAAAAAGGTTACATTATGGATAGATATTGATTCGTTTATTTTGACTATTTTGCACCTGTTATTCCAAAAGCTAATCATACTTCAATAATTTTAGATCATTAACCGGCTGTTATGGGAATTTTGTAATATTTCAAATATTAATATTTGTGATTTAAAGACTTTTTAAATTTCGAGAAATGATTACGAAACTATAATAATAACATAGTGTTTCATTGCAGTAAATTTTATTTCTTTTAAAGATATTTCAGGCAATTTATAATTTTTTTTATATTCGCTATTAATCAAATTATATTAACTGGTTTCTTAAGTATATGATCATTATACCTATTACAATGATATGTTCCAGTTTTATACGTCGATTAATCTGAAATAATAGTTGGTTAGAACTGTTAGGGTATATGACTAATGAGATAAATGAGTATCATTGTACATTTGTACAGGTGCATTATGTACCTATTGTGTGTTTGTGGTTTGGGTATTTATTTTAAAATTTAATTTACAAAATGGTATTGTAGTCTATATGGACCTAATCATATTTTATCTTCTTGGAATGCCACTACAGATCATACAATTTAATAATATGATGTATGTTTATTTTACATAAAAACAGATTATGTTTTAAACTTCTAAATAATCTATAAACAAAATAATGTAGGTATAAATAAATTGTCATTATATTATAATGTATTTCACTTAATTAAATAATCTCTCAATTAAAATATATGAACACAAGAAGGTATATTCAAAAGAATCGAGTAAATTTAGATAAATTGTATTAATTTAGCATATTTTTTTGTGGAGATAATGTTTAGTAGACTATATAACTATAAAATTATATATTGCTAAATACGAATCTCGTATTTATAAGTTGTAGGATCGATCTTTATTTAACACAGCAATAAAATTATATTGCAGTCTGCAGAGTGGACGTGTCACATTATTTAAACAGATTAAACAGTCAAATTCTAATTCAAGCTACATCGTACCGCATAAACCCCGTGTTTAAATTTGTCTATGAACATTGAACATATGGGGAGAGAAGTGTAGTTCATACAATAACACTGCACAGTGTCATGTCGCGTCGTTTAACAAAGTTACAATAATTTATTTAATTATTTAGAACTGAAAGGATGCTATTAAGTATTTGTTTGTTAGTAACATAACATATTACTTACCTATTATAGAATTAGATACTATACTTATATAGTCATACACATAGTAAACTGTGCACGTTTTATGGGACTCATCACCATCTAAAGTTGCCGAAAAACAGTTATATTTAGACATTGTAATATGCAAATCCATATATAAATACATGGATGAGATTATGAGAATATTAATAACACTATAATGGAAACACTCCAATAAATGTGGTATTTTATATTTGTTAATAATATATAAGCTTGTTTTTTGTAATGTTTTTAAGAAAATAAGTTTCAACCCTCCTCGATAGCTATTGTCAATTTGCGCCTAAATTTCCCTTAGCCTATTTTTCTCCATTTACCATCACACATTCCACATTCAAACTAATTTAGTTCATTGGAATAAATCACAATTTTATATTAATGACGATGAATAACAGTAGGGCTTGCGCTAATGTGTAGTACAACACAAATTGTATATAGTTCTAAAATAAAATGTGCAGTTCTAAAACGCTAATTGTGCAGTGCCTACTGCTACCTATTTTAGCGTTGTAAAAAATAACTAATTCACTATAATACTATACCAAAAAAAAATTATATTAAAGTTATAATTCATAATAATTAAATTATATTATCATATTAGAATACAACCATAAATCAATGTGGATTATAATAAGTTTTCTATGACATGGATTGATCTATAATAATAATAATAATAAAATGTCTATACAAACTAAGTCCAAATACCTATACTTGTGCAGTTTTAAAATTTTCTTAGCGCAAACCCTGGATAACAGTCAAGAAGTCTGGATATTTTAGTCTGACAATAATTAATCAAAAAACAATTGAAATTCACTAGTAAAGTAACAATCAAATAGAAAAACTTAGATTAGAAAAAAAATGTAAAATCACAACATTTAGAAACAAAAATAAAAATAAGTAATAATTAGATGATGATAGAAGAATTTTAAATAGTTATGGCAATTGTTAAATATTTATATCTATTATTTTTATTTTTATTTTTTGAATTTGACTATTTTTTTTTAAAAAATTTTATAGAACAATAATTTTATTTATTATTTTTGATATAATAGGAATAAAAACTGAATATAATACAGCATCAAAAAATTAAATATACATTTTAATTATGTTTTTAAATTTAAATTTTATGAATCAAATAGTTTAAATTTTTGGACTTTTTGTCAAATTCAAATAATGTATCCGGAGTCCAGACTTTTTCAAATCGAACTTTTCATCTGGAATTCATAAATCTGACTGAAAGTAACTACATAGAATTTAAAGTTATAATAGAAAGTATAGATAAAGTATTAGATTTAAGGCAAAATATATTGAAAATATTTAGTTTAACACGCATTTTTTATAACAATTTATAAATTCTGAGCAAAAAGATGAAATATGAATGTATTAATGCAGCGATTCTTAACCTTTTGTAGAGCACGAACCCTTGTTCAAAGATTTTTAGAAATCTTGGACCTCTTTACCAATTTTTTTTTGAACACCTTTCTTTTACAACACGTTACGTATTATATTATATGTTAAGACTGCCACGGTCCCCCATGGTGCCGCGGACCACAAGTTAAGAACCGCTGTATAAATGTATTGATTTTACATTGATGTGGTTTTTTTTTTAATGGGTATGTATGTTGTGTATACGATTGATAAGTAAGTTTTTAACTTTAAGAGTAGTTTCGGATAGCAAAACGGACCTAATTTCTAAATTTTTCTCAAAAAAAAATTTTAAAAAAATACTAACTCGAAAATAAATAACCATAGATACTTGAAAATTTAAATTTAACCAAATATTTTATGAGACCATTTTTTATACATGATATAATTTTTTTTAATTTTGATTATTTTTAAACTAAATAGTTGAAATTTTTAATTTTTAGTTTTTTTTTACAAATTATCACAACATTTTTTTCACCTTGATAATAAGCAAGACAATTTAATATAAAGTTTTTCATAAGTAGTTCATATTGAAACCAAAAAATATACAAGCATACTGTTTTTTATAAACATTTTAAGTTCATGTTTGCAAAAAATTACATAATTAAATTGTAAATAATAATAATATTTCGTTAAAGGTCAATAATATTATTTGTGAAGACATAAAACGTTTAGGGATATTTTGATATTTATTATAATTTATACGACATACACACTGTAGTATTTTCAAATGTAATAATAGAATACACTAAAGTCAATGCTAATAGTAAAAAATTACTTTACCCAATAACAATATAAAAAAATTTAATATGAAATATACTTAGTGATATTGACTATAAGAAGTATAAGATCATTGCCATTCAGAATCGTTTTTCGTAAACAATGATAGATTACCAAATTCAAATTTACATAATATCCATTGAGTGAGGACTCAATATCTAGTGAACAGAGTACAATCGAGCGGCACCCATTTGCCCACCTTTATTTATCAAAAAATGTTACTATAGCATTTTTTTAAATAAAATGCTTTAATATTTTCAATAATTAAGAGATAAACAGAAAATAGACAATTACTTATAATTTTAAAATTTTAAATACGTATAACAAAAAATAATATTAAATTCTTAAAACAGTATCTATACATTTATAAAATAATTTGGATAAAAAATTTTAGTGTTTTTAAATTAAATTAAATATTCTCATTAATAATAAACTATAGAAGGAATCACTGAATGTATATTTTGATAACATAAACAGTACACATACAACTTTATTGGCAGTATGAATATATGTAAATTAATATTAAATTTATTTGTGTACTAAATAAAATAAAATAAATTTTATTTAAATATAAAAAAAACCAAATAATATTTTACTACGCAGGTAAACAACGTAACAATTTTTTTTTACAGCGTAAATTTTTTTTCAATATCGCATTTTACAGCGCATTTTAATATGAAAAATAGTATAGGTACCTATTTTAAAGTATATATCCTGGCACGCGAGAAACATATGAGTAAAAAACATTATAATTGGTGGCTCTGAACTTTCGTAAAAAGTATAATATGCTCTGGGAAATGCACCGTAGTATATCGTACAACTGTACCTATCAGCCCATAGAAATGATCTTAACAGAACTTAAATGGAGTCAGTCGCAGGCGTTTTACTAGGAGAGCAATCGGCTCGACCATACACGAGTGCGATTTATTTTAAGCGTGCTTACCGCAAAGACGTGACGTTGAACTTTCAGACAGCGGAAATATGCAGAAAAGCTTCTGGTTACAGCGGAGCGGGTGAGCGTGTGCCGGACGCGATCCAGGACTAAACTGAGTGGCGATGCACTGGACTCTGGAGTCTGTGGCCGGATGTCGAAGGAGGAGAACAACCGAATCGGAAATGATATACGTCGACGGGGGAAATAACGTTAGGAAAAGACCGAGTAATCAACACCAGACTGTGACAACGACTGACCAATTTTACGGTCGTTACTCGTTAGTGGTTATCGCCGAATGTGTATTATTATTATTATTATTTTTTAGGTGAGAACATAATATTGTCGTCGATACCACAAATTATCGATCGATACGGGGAAGAAGATTGATGTTTTCGTAGTCCGGTGATATCCGAGACAAACGCACGAAATAATGCATCAATCATTGTTCGGCTCAATGTTTATCGCAATGATTTGTTATTTTGTTAATATTTCCTACTCGTAAATCAAAAGTGACAATAATATTAACGTATAATTTTATAAGCTGATATTTTTAAACGAAAAACTATCGCGACCGATAGTATATTTTGTGATCCAAGCATGATTCGTTATCACGAAAAAGATAAAATACCGTGATAATATTTAAAAAGAAAGCAACACGTTCTCGTCTCCTGGAATTCGACTATAAATACTTAAATAATAATTAATATTGTTTTATGTTGCTTAATGCTTTATTTCATTTATAAAACTTTAAATTATAATGAATTGTAATTATTTTATTCGTCATTAATCGTCAACCAACTACTAATGTTTCCATACTAGCCGTGGTGACAGAATTGTGTTGTTCGTTATTTTTATACTTCAATTTTAGAGTCGTTCACATGAAGCATGTTCAATACTTACTTTGGTTCGCTCATGAGCACGTATCTTTCCGTTTACACGTAAGTTTTTTAAGATATCACCAACAACCACAACAAAATATAAATTTTTTGTAAGTTTTAATTTTTAAATAGGTAAATATAATTTGTAACTGGTTACTTATAGGAAATTGAATCTATTGCTTCTGTGCTGAAAATACCAATAAAATGGCTTGAACCTCCATCTGATAAAGTAAGAGCAACTCGTCATAATTTACCAACTAACCTATTTGATTATCAATTGACATTTTTATTTTCAATTTTAAAAATATTTAACTATAGTTAATATTAAGTAAGGTTCTAAAACTATTTTTTCTTTTCATAATTAGCCATGGTATTTGGTTGAGCTACCATCAGAAGAGGCTGTACAAAAATTGTCTGCTCGTTCTGTTACTATGAGACGTGCTATACAGTTATGGGCTGATGAACCATCTATACCAAGACTTCATGCATCACTAAAAGAAAAATGTTTAAATGGTTTACTTGAACCATATAAATTAAAATCATTCAAAGTAGACGTAGACTTATTTTGTAATTCACAAACGCAGGAAGAAAAACTTGAACGTATAGAAGTAAACCGATATAAATATTGCACATTTAATCTAGGTGGTTTGATGATGTTATATTGTTCCACTAGTCGTTCAGTTATATGCCATTTCAAGGACACGTGGATCTTAAAAATCCAGATGTTACATTTCAATTTATTGAGTACTATGGTTTAGACCCGAAAATTATACCAGAAAATCCTATACGTACTTTTTTTGGCCGAGTAGTAAGTATATTATAGTATGTTTTTATTAAATTTTTAAAATTGATTTATATTTTTATTATAGATATCAGAAAGTGGACGTCCATTAATCCATGAGTTGTCATTAAAAAAGCGTAAATTTATTGGGAATACTAGTATGGATCCACAGCTTTCTTTATTGATGGCAAATTTAGGAAAAGTTACTAATGGTGATTTAGTATTGGATCCATTTGTTGGAAGTGGTACGTGTCTTAACATTTAGTTAAATTTAAGTTTATTAATATATACTGTTAGATTATTTAATAAAAAATTACTATTTTATATTTTGTTCATAAAATAATTATTTATAGTTGATGGTTATTATCTAAAATGTCTTCTATGTATATAATACACGTATTTATATGATTTATTAGTATTACAATCATGAATTCATTTTGTTTGTAATATAAATATTTTCATCAATGAGTTCATTTTGAAAAGTAATTACAAACTTTTTTTATTATTAGTTAATGACAATGTATATTAAAACATTGAATAATAATAAATAAGTTAATATTGTACTTGCACCAATGTAAATATTTTGTTAAATCACATATTTCATTAAACAACTGATTATGTATTACATATTACGCTTGTTTCACACAAATGTAAGAATAATATTAAAATGTATTTATTTTATTTGAAATACATATTTAATTGTTTTTTAAAGGTTCATTGTTAGTTGCTGCTGCAAAATTTGGCGGCCATGTAATTGGAACAGATATTGACTTTTTAATGCTTCATGGACGTACAAGACCTACAAGAAAGCAGACACGAGTAATAAATATTTAGTCTTATATATTTTTTATATTTTTTAATTAGATTTTATGAGTTAAGTATTATTATATAATCATATGTTTCTTGTGAAAAATGTATCTTTTCTTTTTTTGCAATATGGCTAGAACTATCTATATCATTAATGTATACTTTTATCTATATTTTGAAATGGGATCTCTAACTTTTCAAATTATCAATATGTTCAAAATTTAACAAAAATGTAAGTTTTAATTATTAAACTTAAACTGTTCAAGTATGACAACAGATTCAATTTTTTTTAATATTGTTTTACTTCTATCATATTCTAAAATTTGTTATGGTTATATTTTTAAAAGTTTGAAAGTTCAAATAGCGTAAAAAAAAAATTAAGACTTGACTCATCCATATTAATATGGTATTAAATTTACACTAATATTTACAAATATAATATTTTTACTTATTTTGTATTTTTATTTTCAGCATATAGCTAGAAAAGATGAAAGTATTGAAGCCAATATGGCGCAATATTCTTGTCTTGATAAATATATTGATGTAATTGTTGCTGATTCAGCTTTACCAATTTGGCGCAGTGACATAGAATTTGACTGTATCTTAGCAGATCGTAATATAAAATTAATTATTAATTAATGATTAACAATAAAATAAAAATAATACATTTTTTTTTATCTATAGCTCCATATGGTATTAGAGAACCAACTGAAAGAATAGGCTGTAAAGAATCTTTACCTGTTCTTAAAAAGGAAGGATCTCCTGTACATTTCCCATCCAAAGTAGAATATGGATTAAATGAGATTATCAAAGATCTTATGTGGTTTTCTTCGAAACATCTTAAGTTACATGGAAGATTGTTATTTTGGGTACCAATATTTCGACAAGATTACAGTGATGCTCAAATGGCTAGACATAGTTGTTTTAAATTAATAGGAAACTGTGAGCAGGTGTTGACTACATTCACAGCTAGGCGGCTTTTGATTTATGAAAAAATTAAAATACCTCAAGTAAAATCAACATACTAAATACAAATAAATAAATATTTATTTTATTTTTATTCCAGGATACTGATGAATGTAGTTCTGCAATACCATCTGCTAGTGCTTTTAGAGAAAAATATTTTAATGGAGATGAAAGTCGTCAAACACGTAAACAAAAAAAAGCAGAGGCAGCAAAGAATAAAGAAATTTGGTTTGCAAAATTAAATAATGTTAAATTGAAATAAGATCAAATTGTAAGTTTAATGAACAGTAAATAAACAGTAACATATGGATAATACTTTGTATTAGTTATTATTATTTATTTATTAATATTTTAAAACTTAACTTACAATGATTGATACTCGACTAATATATATTAAGATAGCTATCACTATATTTTATTTTGATCAACCAGATTATTTTTTTTATCAAAAATCTAAAAAAAATACTATTATTATATAAAGTAATATTTTATTACACATAAATAATATTTTTCTCATATTTAAAATAAGTATGGTTCCACATAATTTAATCCTACAAATCAACCTGAACTAAATATTATAAACAGTTTATAAAATATAACTCAATATTTCTTTTAAGATTATTTTCTTTGTAAACTTGAGTTACATATAATGAATAAATTAAATTACTTAATTCATGTATTATAATAAAATAGAAAATAATTTACAAGCTATCTTCAATAAAAAACCCTTTACAAATGTATGATATTAATGTCATATTTAGTTGTTTTTACATTTTGCATACACTGGATGCTCACCCCATTTTTTTTATTTTTCTAAAATTTTAATAAGGAATTTATTTAAATTTTTGACATTTTTTTGTAATACTTTAAATAAGTCCAGTGACACAAACTTCTGCATTTCAAATGAAAACCCTCCTTTTTTACTGTAAGTAATTTAGTGAATAATTTTATTTTGAAAATTTCAATGTACCTGATTCAAAATTTAATTGAGTAGTTTTCTGTTATTAAAACGTTTGTATTAAAGGATAATAGTCATTTAAAATGGTTTAAGTAAAATTTTAAATTGATGTAATATTGAATCTTATATTTATTATAATCTGACTGTTTTCATTAACCATATATTTTAAGATAAACATTAATTTCTCAATTGTTCAAATACCAAAGCACACACTAAGTCAAATAACTCAAATATTACTCATTAAAATTTTTCAGTAGAAATTTTCAAGTTTATGTTGTCTATAATTTATATTACATGACCAAATCATTTTATTATTTCGAATTTATATCTTTGTTCAAACCATTTTTATTATTTTTGGTTTAACTGAAATTTTAATACATTATAATATATTATTACCAGTTTTATGCCATGGAAAATTTTAATATTGGATATTTGGTCATGGATCACTTGCTGCAATTGATTATTTACCGGATCAAAGGACATATCACCACAATTATTTATTTAAATTAACCAAAACCAATTGATTAAAATCTGACCAACCATCATATAACCATAATATATACACGTTTAATTTGTATAAATATAGTACACTAGTACCTATTATACTGTCATAGTATAGTTGGTAGGTATTTGTCATTTGAGTTTGGATATTCAAACCTCAAGGATGAAAAAAACGTACAAGTTTGTAGTAACAGCTAAAAAGTACTTAAAATATATTCGGTGTCACACTAGGTCAAGAAGGTGCCAGTTTATTGTAATAGTTTTATACGACCAACTCAAAATATAATCTTTAAATAATTAATTTGGTAGGTATGAAAAAAAACGCTGAACATTTAAGTTTATACTATATGTTAATTAACTAAATGATAATATGGCATATTAAAAAACAAGTCGATTTAACAACTTTAAAAGATGCATTGTATCCCAAAAACCTCTAATTATTATAGCACTGAACCATTTATAATATATCTACATAAATAAAATATGTAACAGTATTGTATATTCTATCTCAGTCCAAAGTTAATAAGTAAACAAAAAATTATTTTTATTTTGAAGTTTGAATTGTATGTTTAATTCTAAAAACAATGATACAAGAATTAGGTTTATTTCTATTCATGCTGTTTGTTGAAATAAGGATGAATTATAATAAGCCACAGAAGTATGCGACATCATTGGTCCGAACACAGTACAATTGCATATCTTGTAATACTTTTGCATACTTAATTGTCACAAAGATTTACCTATTTTAAAATTATATTACCAATTAGCAACTTGTTTTTTTATTTTTCTGTCTTATGTAGTATGTGTATATTTATGTGCTTAAAATACCATTAATTATAATATTTATAACTATCATAAGAGTATTTTTTGTTAAAACATCCAATTGCTTTAAATTTTCCAAAACTAATATTATTTTATTTTTATTATATCATTTTTAACTTTGTTTTTCATAATTTGAAGAACAAATTGAGTTGTGCACTCCTTTAAAATGAAATTTTGGGTGGGCTTTAAATAAATAAAAATACAAAGATTAATTTAACTATCTTGTATTTACTTATTTAAATTAAATTATAAAAAAAATTTAAGGATAGTAATGTAAATCAACAAGATATTAATTTGAGTGCATATAAAATAACATAATAAGAACAATTTTATAAAAGAATATATTATAAAAAATTAAATAGTGAGGTTATTTCATGACAAGTTAGTAATTGATCTTGATCATTTTTCAATTAGATTCTTACATGACAATAAAACTATTTGGTTTAAGTGCTATAAATTATTAAATTTTATAAACAATGTGATAAATTATTTAAAAACAATATTTTAGGAACAAAAAAATAGTTAATATACATTAGTAATAATAATTTAATAAAAATAATATTTTAACACGGTCCAAATCCTTAAATAATTTCATTTCTTTTTGCTAATTTATAAATCAAATCAACTAAACTGGTACGTTTATTTTGCAGATCGTCGACATCCACTGGATCTACTTCACGTATGTCTAAATTTGCGCAGACATATTGTGCAACATTTTCTGCGTTGCATATCAGGTGTATTCCACAGTCATAACTATTGTGTTGCTGTCTAGTAGCCAATGGAGTGATGATGTCTACAATGTCTTTAAAATAAAATTTCAGCTTTAATGCTAATTTTCTTGCTTGTTTTTCATTGGAATCAAATATTGAATCCATGTGAAAGAGACGTTTGTCTTGGGCCCCATACACTACCAGTGACCAATGCGTACCACCGACAGTTTGCAATTGTTCCTGATCGTTTAGCGGGAAGAAAATGTATGAATAGTTTTTGTCTTTGACTAGTGGATCAAGAAATACAGCAATGTCATCTACATTGCACTCCTTTATGCATTGTACAATTTCGGGGCTAATGAAATACACCTTGGAATTGTTCTTAAACACTTCGGTATTCAGGTATTCCATGTAGAAACCTATGACAGAATCATTTAGCCATTGGTCGTCGATGAGCAGACGAACATCGGATTCGTGTAGTAGAAAATTCTCATAACTCAACACTACTGGATCTTTTTCTTTAAGCGATGTGCGGTTGTTACTCATGGTGGATGTAGTTTTTCGTGAAAACCAAAATTGTTTAAAAAAATATATATATTGGAGAATGGTAGGTATTTTATACACGCTACACACAGTTTGCTATAATGACCAAATATAATTTACATTTTCTTACTTTTTTATTCGCGTAAATAACTAAGTATACGCACGGAATCGGAAACGAACAATAATAACGACGTTAAAAGTTAAAATATTAAATTATTATTATTTTTTATTAGTATTACATTTTAAAACAATAAATGGATAATGATAAATTGATTTTATGATAAACGCAGAATAAAGAGTAAACAAGAAAAAGTAACAGTGTGTCCGGACTAGAGAATGAAAATTATGTTTAAAGTCTAAACCATTAAAAATTTAGAAATTTTTCTATAAAATATTTTTATGTTCGCTAAAGGTGAAACCATTGATTATAAGATAGATTTATTCCAAATTTTTTTTAGATAAGCTTTATTTCATAGGATTATCATGCGTCATTTGTGCTTAATTTGCAATTTTGCATAGTCTACATAAGCGTCGAATTTTATTGATTAGTGTAACACGAAAATTAGTTATAATGGAAAAAAAAAATAATAAATAATAAATTATATTTTTCATTAATTTCTATGTAAAGTTGCCTATATTATAAACTATTATTTTTTAATTATACAATAAGGTTAATGTTAATAAAATGTATCATTACATTTTTTTTTGTAAAATAATTCCAAATCATGGGTACTATTCACATCCATCGTTAATTGAACACTTTTTAAGTCACTGTTATTAAATATCACTTTATTCACTTTCAACGCGAACTTGATTAGTAGGAGGTACTCGTGAACAAAAGAAGCTGTAACAATTATTGAAATGCACTGAAAATTAAAATAATATAAATAAAAATAGATTCAAACATTTTATAATCGTGCTTATTTGGGTTTATGGAGTTAATTTACCGTATTAGATTTTAATAACATATCCAACAGAAGTCAAATATATTATAGATACAAAAGAACTTAAGACCATTGGTTATTTTATTTTTAATCAATGTTTATAAAATTAAAAAATAAATAGTATGTATGTCATATTGGATAATTATTTAAACATTTTCTATTTTCATGTAATTACCATCACAATTTTATAATTTTAGTAATTAAGCCCGTCTAAGCCCCGTAGATAAGACGTTATTATATTTTCTATAATTTATTCGTTAAAAATGTAGCTACGTTTATTTAATTACCTATCCTAAGTGCCGTGTAATCATCACGAATTGTATTAATATAAATTATTATACATCACACCAATAATTGTTTAAAATTTTTAATTGTTGTAGTATTGTCACAGAATAGATTAAATTGTATAGTATTCATATTGAATAATATTTAACTTGACATTATTATCAAAATTCTCATACAGAATTTCGTATCAAAAGTGAAAAGAACAGTGTACATTTTTATTTTCACGAACCACAAGATTATATTGTTAATTGTTATAGCCTATATTGTGTACAATAATAATTAATTATCCATAATGTTATCTAAAAATCTAATTTATTAGAAAAAATATAAAAATGATTCAAACGAATCGATAATAAATTTAAAGAAAAATTTTCATAACGTAGTGGGGATCAGTGGTGCAGTGGCCAATGGCTTTTCTGTCATTTGCCGGATTTTATCAATTTCACCGATGATGTGTTGATAACGTTTTGAATGTTTTGATAACCACTGCGACTGCTGTAACTGGGTGTCTGGGTAGGACGTCCTTCGAGGTTATTTGAAGTTCATTTTTGCCTTTTAGGCGCTAATTTTACTGTCACTTTTTAACGTACAATTTCATTACCAATTTAGTCTATAAACATAGAATATGTCTGGATCCAACACCATCATGAACAACGTGCGTCTGTTACGGAACTTAAACAGGAATACAGTGAAAACCGTTACTACTAAATGCCCCATCAAAGTTATTCAAGCATATAGGTAATTAATTGATTATATAACTTAAGGGTACTGAAGTGGATAATTTTTTTTTTTTTTTTTTGGGGGGGACTATTTAGGTGTCAAAGTTCCGTTCACTGGCGCACTGGGAGACGTCCGTCCGTGAAAAATGTTGGCTATCGTTTCTATGCCACAGATTTTCCAAGCCATATTAAAGTTTCTCTCCCAGCTTTGTCTCCTACAATGGAAAGTGGCACCATTGTTAATTGGTCTAAAAAAGAAGGTAAACTCTATTAAAACTTTTAAAAAAATATCAAACTTTTCACGAGTATTTTGTAGGTGAAAGATTGAACGAAGGAGACAAACTAGCTGAAATTGAAACAGACAAAGCCATTATGGATTTTGAAACTCCCGAAGAAGGATATCTTGCCAAGATCATGGTACCTGCTGGTCAAAAAGATGTTTCAGTTGGAAAGGTTTATTATTTTTTAGATATTTTATGTTTCTATTAATTATGCAATAGGGATACAGTAAAAATTGTGACCTTGCATTGGGGTCAATGATATTATTAATTGATTAAATAAACTGCAAATTTATTTTTATTACTTATCAAACTTAAAAACTTCAAGAGTGTTTTATTTTTAATAAAATATTTATTAATTACTTTAATTTAAATTTACAGCATATTTAAAATTGAATATCAATAACTCAAAGGTTAAATATTAAATAATATAAGGTTTTTTAAATGTATGACATAATATTTAATGATGTACTTCAAAAATTTAAAAATGTTGATATTTTGATTTCAGCTCGTATGTATTATTGTAGAAAATGAATCTGATGTTGCTGCTTTTAAAGACTTTGTGGATAATACTCCAGCAGGTGCTTCTGCCCCTACAGTACCACCACCCAAACCATCTACTTCTGCACCTGTTCCATCACCACCTCCCACACCTGTGGCTCCAAAAGCTTCAGCTTCATCAGTACCGATTCCAATTGGATCTCGTATACTTGCTAGTCCTTTAGCCAAACGTTTAGCTTCTGAGAAAGGATTGGATTTAAGTGTAAGAATTACTGCATATATATATCCAATTATATGAAAAAATTAATATAATTAGTAAATATATAACTATAAAGTATTTAAATTTTAGACAATCACTCAAGGTTCCGGGTTGTTTGGTTCAATAAAATCTACAGATTTAGATAAAGCTTCTATAGCCAGTAGTAAGAAAACTGCTGTTGATGACGGAATTCGTGGTGAAGGATTTGTTGATAAGCCTGTAACAAATGTTCGAAAGGTTATAGCAAAACGTCTGCTCGAGTCAAAACAAGTAATATAAAAGTTACTCATTTGTCTATCACCAACACAACTCATATTTTATATTTATTTACAGACTATACCCCATTATTATCTCACTGTTGATTTGGGCCTAGATAATATTGTTTCATTAAGAAAACGTATGAATGAACTTTTGGAGAAGGAAGGAGTTAAATTATCTATTAATGATTTCATTATAAAAGCTGCAGCTTTAGCTTGTAAAAAAGTTCCAGAAGCCAATTCATCTTGGATGGATAGTTTCATTAGACAGTAAATTAAATTGAAAACTATTTTAGCTTACATAAAAAATTAAATACAAATATTGTTAATTATAGATATGATGCAGTTGATGTAAGTGTGGCTGTGAGTACTGAAACTGGACTGATAACACCAATTGTATTCAATGCAGATACTAAAGGCTTAATAGCAATAAGCACTGATGTTAAAGAACTTGCAGCTAAAGCCCGTCAAGGAAAATTACAACCTCAAGAATATCAGGTATTTATTATTTCTTGGTGAATTTCAGATTTTTAAATTATCTTGTATCATAAATGTTATTCAAACTTTTCTAATACAGGGAGGTACATTTAGTGTTTCAAATTTGGGAATGTTTGGTGTTAAGAGTGTATCTTCGATAATTAATCCTCCACAATCATGCATACTTGGCATTGGTGCTATGACTCAACGGCTAGTACCAGATAAGACAAATGGAACTCGTGCACAAGATACACTTCAAGTTACATTAAGTTGTGATCACAGAGTTGTAGATGGTGCTGTGGGAGCACAATGGTTACAAGCATTTAGGCGATATGTAGAAGAACCACATAATATGCTTCTTTAATACCGACTCATTTGTCTTAAGAACAATTCAGTCATAAAATGCTTTCCGTAATATTTTTTTTCGTTTCTATTTTTTTTTTTTTTTTTTTATGTTATTTGTTATAAATAGTTTAAATGTTAAATTTATCAGTATATACTCTATCTGATTTTTAAGCATACTCTTAGTTGTTTAAATTCAACAAGGGTATATTAACATAGGTAGACATAGCTCTAGTGAATTATAAAAGCTAAAAACACATATAAAAAGAAAAAAAGTATTTTAATGATGTTTCTTAAATGTACTACTTTTATTAGTTTGCAAATGTTCACAGAGTAGTGCCAAATGGTATTTGTCTCCAATTCATTTGACCTGAAAAAAAATAACACAATATAATATAAAAAAATTGAAAAATTATTAATTTTTCTATTCTTAATAATTAATGTTCAAAAAATTGTGTACAGAAAACAACTTGAATCCTAATTACATGAGTAATTTATTGAATTGTAGACAACAGCTTATTTTTGTGTCTATGACCAAAAAAAAAAACTTATGAGTACTATTGCCTGTTGTGTCTTAAGTTATACAATAAAAGAACTATTAATTGTAAGACCTTATAAAAACATTCCATGTTATGCGTAAGTTTACATAACTTTCTAGTTTCAAGGAATGTTAATGAAAATAAATAATTTGTTTGAAAAAAAAAATGAATTTATAAATGAGAAGTTTTTTATTTTCATAAAAAATGCTTAGTAAAACCTAATATTTTATTAAAAGGATGTCATACTCACATGGATTGTCTCCATCTTACAAACATATAACAGCAAATTTGCATTCAGCAGTATCCATTTTATGTCGTTAGGTTTAATACTAGAGCAAATTTATTTAATATCAAACTCAAAGGTAAAAATATTATCTAGGGATTCTCATAAGTTTTTATTTATATTATTTTAAATTGAGTCATGGATATGTAAAATATTAGAGCTTTAAAATGCTCACGACTCACTTTAAAATGATAATATCAATTAAATCCAATGAAATATCCAAGATTATATTCTTATAACCTTTAAGTTTAGTAATGAGTAAATTTACACTTAGCATAAAATAAATTCTGCTGAACACAAATTTGTTGTATATTTGTAAGACCAAAATTATTTAAAAATAAAATCTTTCTAAAAACAAAATGATAGTATACTACACTTAATTTATATATTTGTAAATATTAGATAGATTCAATTCTTAAGAAAACATTTTGAAAACAAAAAATTAATGAAGTTATTTTTGAAATGTAATGAACAATAATAAAATCAAATAACATGACTGTCTAAACCAAATTAAGTACCTAACATAAGTATTAAATTATGGAAATTATTATATTCAGACATAAGCACTGAATTTCAGTCTAATAAAAATACTCTAATAAGAACTCAAGAAAAAACAAATTAATTATTTAAATACCAACTTACCAATAACTCTTGACCATTGTGATTGACTATCAGTTACATCTTTACTGATCAAATCATCAACTGTAAATACATTATGATCAATATTTTTAGAGCTAACCTTAACTGTGCCTGTATACAATGATACTAATTTGATAATGTTGTACCGTTGTTTTACTGTTAATGGATTCAATTGTATTTGTAACAACCTAAAATGCAGTAAACATGTTAGCAAGTTACTAAAAGCAAATTTGATATAATAAAGAATCACCATTTTAAAAATATAATAGTGTATGGATGTGGTGATTGCAATGCAGTTCTTAAAACAAGATTTGTATCCAACTTCAAAGGCTTGCAGTTCATACAGTTGTCATTTTGGTTATCATTCAAATCAATTTTTTTGCTGCTTTTATATGCAATTATACACAGTTCCAAAACCCACAGGGCCGCTATCCGTGAATGTTGAGTAACCAAACACAGTAATACATTAGTCAGCAAACCAGAATTGTTTAATGTTTTTAGTAAAACATTCCAGATTGCTTTATCTGTCTTGGAAATTCTACCTAAAATGAAAATTAACTGTTTACATTGGTAATAACTTCAAAAAAAAAAAAAAACTAGAAAATTACCTTTAGAAACATTACATTCATGAGCTTGAAGTAAGTACCGTGTAGTAAATACATTAACTAAATCTGAAGACCAATCTTTATTTGCTAAAAGGTCTTTCATTTTTTTTATACATTCTTTATTTGAATAAGATTCCGAAAATGTTAACTTCTCTCTAAAATATTGTTAATGTAAAAAACTTGTTCTGTTTTTAATTTTTTAATATAATTTGATTTATTTTTACCTCAAAACATTTAGTTGTTTTTCTTTAAGGGCAGAATTAGTTTGACTTTTGCTTAATGTATAAAATTCCAATAAGTCTATAAATTCATCAACAATATTCATGTTTAATTTTTTTGCAAAAACTAGAAAATTATCATCTTCATTCCAATATTTTGTCTAAAATAATGACATAATGACATAAACACTTCAAGTATAACTATACTTTTTAATTGTTTCTTACTTGTAACCATTCTAGTGCAAATTCCATAGCTGCTCTTAAAGATTTTAGACTAGGTAAATCTTGGTCATGTGAAATTTTATGTCGCATATCAATTAACCAAGACGGAAGTTCTACACAAGATGCTCTATAATACATTGACTTCTGAGGACCTTTTCCCAAAACATCAGCTGTCAAATTGACAAACCTTGATTGTCATGATATTAAAAATATCATTAATTTTAGTTATTAAATATCAATTTTTTTGTCTTACTTCATTATAGCCATAGAATATAAATGAATTAAATCACTTTCACTGATAAGTTCATCGACTTCATAAAAATGGACATCTTTAACGATGACTTGTAAAATCATTTCAGTGCAATATAAACCTCGAGATAATGATCTTCCTCTAAAATAGAACATTATTCTAAAGTTAGAAAAAAAATAAAAATAAATATTTCCTCTCACCTAGATTTCCATAATAAAAGTTTTCTTAAAGCTTGTTTGTAGTTGCGTGTATCTTTACTACCATATATGTCTTGCCTAAGCAACTGCCACTCTGAACTAGAATTTAAAACAAAACATTTATAATATTCAATACATTGTTATACTAATTATAGCTATAAATGCATGTTATACAGGCATACAACTAATAAGGACAGTCTTTAATATTTAATTTAAAAATTGTTGAATTTATAGACGTTTAAAATAAATAACTAATACCTGTCTATAAGGCAGTATTTACAATGAAGTTGGTAATAAAACTAATAAGTAATTATCTAATCATGGTATCCTTTTATTAAATTGTGCCTTTGTTAAATAAAAGCAGTTAAAACAAAAACAAAATTAACTTCTTTAAAAATAAAAAAACTTTTGGACGTATTATATAACAAAATTATAGATATTACACTGTAATTAATGTTAGACGTCCGTAATCATGCATTCTATAACAAAAATTTAATAAATTAAAATATTAAAAGGTTTATAATTCATTCATTATAGTAACCAAGTATATAATATATATTTCACTTACTCAGCAGACCAAGGGGTCACAATAATTTCTTCCATTATATTGAATTAAATGAAATATTGAATTTCATCTGAAAACCATGAAATAGAATTAAAATTAATTGAATCAATCACATTTTAATTATATGAAACAGTTAAAAATACTATTTAATATCATGTTTTAATATAGATAATATTTGAAATATAATAAATTCAGTGATCAACTAACATAAAATAATAAACAAACTGTTTCAATTGTTCTTATTAAGTAATCTCTGATCTTGGCTCAGTTTCTCAGTCTCTATTCGACATTTTAAACTTAACAGTTAGGTATGTAGAATTGTAGCACAAGTGCACTGTGCACAAACACATCGTCACATGTGAGTCTTTTTATCGTTTTATGTTTTATCACTTTTTGTGTTATCATTGTTATCAACGTTCAGTGTTATGACGTTTTCAAGCACAGATATGTATACATAGGTATCAGTGTTTTCAAGTAACAAATTAGCAATCTGATGTATGCAACAATGCAACTATGAAAAAAATATGTAATTAAAATTACATAAGGACCATAAGGTATATTGTAATATCATAGGCGTGCGCAGGCCTCTTTACTGGCGCCTTGTCAGTTACGGAGGGGGGGAATGAGGGGGAATAATAAAAATTATAATTTATCATAAGTAACGCCATTCTGTGTTGAGTTAAGTTTTTGAAATCATCAATGATGTCTTCAGAATTTAAATTAACAACCATTTCTTGTTCTATAGTTACAAGCATCAAAGTATTTAACCTTTCTTCTATTATTATTTAACATTTGTAATACAATTACGAACATATTTTGTACAATAAACTATTATAAACATAAATTAAATATAACACTTTTAAATTTAAAAATGGTCTTTAGTATGTGTGAAGCTCCATGTTCGTTCAGGGTATGCAGTTGCATATACTCTGCATACCCCGCGCACGCCTATGTGTAATATTATATACAATCTATTAAGAACAATATGAATAGCTGTGGCAATTAGTAGCGGGGCAAACGATAATTTCAGAGGCAATTACTCTCAAGATTTTTTTTAAATAGTAAATTGGGTGGTAATCGGTTGGTCATCTAATTGTAAAAGTAGTATAATACTCAATAGGTGATCAATAATGATCTAAAATATAATTAGTTGTTTTACATTGTTATGTATTAATCATATAAATTTATGTTAGTTACCCTTCTATTTTTTGCGTCTATAGTGGTGGATGGGTCCTTAGTGATTGGTATATTTTTCTTTATCTCTAGAAAATTTTCAATTCACCATACTACTGATGGCAGACACCAAAAACCGGACTTGGATGTTTGTATGTTTGTATGACATAATATTAAAATTTATATATAAATATATTAACGGGCGTTTTAGATAGGCCACTAAAGATTCATTAGGTATTCGGTTAATTTTTTTTACTAGAAAAATACATAGGTACATACTTAAAAGTTTAAGATACAGTAATGCAGTATAAAAGGAAGTGTTCTAATTATTATTGAGAACAAGAAATGTGACAATAAAGCGAGAGTACGGCTCACGATTTCCTTGCATGAATTAAAATAGAAAAATCGATCGTGCCAGTACTCAAAAAACAATCATTAAAAAAAACAACACAAAATAATATTAAGCAGGCTTTTATTTTTATTTACACAATTAATAAAATAGTATTCATAGAAAGAACAAATGTTATACGACGAGATTGGAATAATTTTGAATGAGTGAAGAAGACATCTATTAAAGGCACTTTGACATTAAAAATTATTTTTTTAGAGACATTAGAATTTTCGAATATGGTTTCGACTTAATGTTCATAATTTACTTTTTTGGATATGTAGACTGATAATAGTTTATGCAGAGATAACTAATGAAATATCGAAACCGTGTAATAATTAATAATCATTCCGACATTATAATAAACCAAGCAGTTTTTCGTACGTTAATAATAGACCGAACATTGAACACGATAGATAATTAAATTCATTATCGACGATTTAATTTTGTAATTTAAATATACATTTTTCAATAGATTATACATACAATATGAGAATAAGAAGTAAATTAATAATAATAAATAAATTTACGTTTTACGCTGTTGTCCGTTATTTAGGCCATTACATAAACCGATTTCAAAAAATGCTCGTTTTATTTTTTGACTTTGCTCAGACCCGATTAGTCTATCTGCGCATTAAATGACCTGGTGTCCCTGGTGTATGGAAGCATTAAAAATGATCACTGTGTACCATAACAGTATAATATTGTACGTTGTGTATACAATTTAATGAGATGGCTGGTGGTGGTACCCTGTTTAAACGTTTTACACTCCAGGTTATATAATAATATATTACGAAGTTAAATTAAAAAATAGGCGCAATATCGATTATCGTATAATAATGTTGTGTGCACTGCAACCCTGTACGCCTAAATATTTGGTAATTTAAACCTATCGCATACTATTATGATGTACATTTAAATATTTATTACATAATATTATATTGTTGTATTATTAACTGTTGTCGGTGCTCACTGCCCAGTGGTACTGTGACGGCGTGCGATAGTCCTGCAACGTATATGAATACACATCGTCGTATAACATATTATGTACACTGTACAGTAACATCATCATTCTTCTCTTTTAGTATAACATACCGTGATTATATTATTAACAAAAATAGGTACTCGAATTTGAATATTTTTTATCCGGCGTGTTATTAGATAGCCAATCGCGTACACCACAGAAATCGTAAAACGTTACAATAATGTTCGTGATGAAAAAAGTGAGTGTTCGGAGCAATGAAAACGCGTTTGTTTTTCGGCTTTTGAGTTTCAATAGCTGAATATCGATAACAGTATATAATATTATAACGATATAATCTTGACTTTGAGGTTTTTAAACAACACGAACGCATCTTTTATTTTTTACAGATGAAATCGTTAGACTTGCGGTATAACGAGATGTGCAATGACTGGAACAGTTTACACGAGTGTCTAGATCCCAAAAAGTATGAACACGGTCAGTTAGTGTTGTCTTGGAAAAGACTGAACGTGTCTGTGGAATATACCACACAGAATTTTTTCGTTTCGTCAAAAATCACTCGTCAACAAATATTGTACAACGGTTAGTAAGGAAACATGGTCGAGGAATCAAATGGGTGGCAAAATAAAAAAAAACGGCCCAAAAATCGAAATTAACCAACGTTAGTGCGGTGTTATTGAGTAGATCAACAGATAATGTTTATTTTTAGTAATAAAAATAAAAACGATTTCACGTTTTTAAAATCATTAAAATATGACCTTGAAATAATTAATTTTAATCCATGGAGTAAATAATATAGTGACATCAGGACATTTTCGCTCTTGTTTTGGAAATTTCCCTCCAGAAAAAATTAAACTATTAAAACATTCATGAAAAAAATAAAAAATATATACATCATATAATTATAAAAAATATTATTTATTATTATTTTATTATTCATAACTAAACTAATTTTAGTAATTTTTTTCAAAGTAAATATATATCTAAATTGTTGTGGAATAAAATATTGAAGAATTTATTTCACCAGGCAATTTTAAGACAAAAATCTTTTGTTTCAAAATGTTTGGTTTTTTTTGGAATAATTTGAGATTTTAAATCTACATAAATTACGTTTTACATAACTCACAGATGGTAAAAATGTTTGTGGTCGGGTGGAGGATATCAAAGTTGTAAAAAAATCATTGAAAAGATAATTTCTGTTTTTGGTAAGTATGTATTTTACATTCGTAAAACACATGTCTTTTTTCAGTTAGTGGAAACGTGCAATGTGGAAATCTTCTTGGAATAATGGGCCCAAGGTTAGTAATATTATATTGTGTTCTTAAATATCGTTTATTTTAAAACTGTATTATATAATTTATCATTTAGTGGTTCGGGAAAAACTACTTTGATGGCCACTATAAGTCATCGAACTAAAGGTTCGTGGAGTGTATATTTTTCTAGCTATTAATTCTTCTCAATTTTTATTAACCACCAGTGTTTTCACATATACATTTTTTAGGAAATTTTGATGGAGAACTGTTATTGAATGGTCATCCGGTGTCTGAAGAAGTCATGATTAAAATATCTGGTTTTGTCCCGCAACAAGACGTCACCTTTGATCAGTTGACGACTTTAGAACACTTGTATTTAATGGTATTAATATAAATAACTTATGTTCTATGTGTCTATTGTAATATATAAGATTCGCTACAATATACTTAATCGACTAAGGACAAAATCACTATTGCTACAACACGATTGCACTCCAGGAATTAAAGGTGTTGTCCTTTTAACAATTTTCTAATATCCTATTCAAAAATATCGATACATGGCATAATAAACACTAGTATTTTTCTAATATGTTAGAACGACCAATGGACAAGAAATATTTCACCGACATTATAATTTACAGTTCATATCCTTCTATTCATAACGTTATTATTTATAACTTATTAATAAATTGGTAGACATCTAAAAAAAAAATTACTAAGACATTAATAGTGTAAAAAAAAAATAATAATAATAATATATAAACCTCGAAAAAAGAAAAAGAAAAATTGAAATTTATAACGCAAACTTGGACAAAATTAGAACAAAGTGGAATATCTATACCTAAGAATATTTGAAAGTAATGAAACTTTGGTATTGTGCTACAAAATTGTATTTATTAATTTTTTTAAGTTTAATTAACTATATAATAATACAAAGATTATTTATCGAATTATTATATATATAAGAAATGATTCGTGATTTTGATGTCTCAGTCAATATTTTTAAATAGTGTATTGTTTGTACTTATGCCATAATATGAAAACATTTTTAATCAAGTCAACAATTATTTATTTTGTTTTAAGTCCTATGCCTGTAAAATTGGAAAAGAAAATTGCTAAAAATACAATACCTATATTTCATTGAGTGCAATTATACTGCTATTATTTTTCGTGATAGATTTAATTTCTAAAATATACTAGTACTAGTACGCTCAATGAATCATCCTGTGTACAATTATACTGAGTGTCGTCGTTTTTAGGCGAATTTAAAAATGGACCGCCGCACTAGTAAAACCGCGCTAAAGGATCGTGTCGACTATACCGTTACTGCGTTGGGTATGCTCGAATTTCTGGACAATAAACTATCGGTGTTGTCCGGTGGTGAACGTAAGAAAGTCTCTCTAGCCGTCCAGCTCATGAACGATCCGCCGATACTGTTTTGCGACGAGGTAACCACGGGCCTAGACAGCTATTCAGCTACACACATTGTCAACATGCTAAAGCGTATCGCGCGAACCGGTAAAATTGTCATTTGCACAATCCACCAACCCGCGTCCGGCGTGTTCGACAAGTTCGACGAGGTCATTTTGCTGTCAAACGGACGGCTGGTGTACCAGGGACCCGTCCCAATGATCAATCAATTTTTTCAAAAGTATATTGTTCACTTTATTATTATGTTACGTTTAAACAGAGGTTTATCGACCGCACAACATGCACAATCCCATTATATTATTATGTAATAGGTATTTCATTTAGTCTAGTATTTTTATATTCTGAAAGTTTTACAAGTTATTAAATTCTGATAAATCTAATGCATGCTTTATAACTTATATAGTAGTAGAAGGACTAGAAGTAATATCACTATAACTACTAAGTAATAATTAAAAGATTTATATTTATCATTTTCAGTAGGTATAAACATTTTAATAACAGAAAACTTCTCATTCGAATTTTGCATTAGGTACATAGACATATTCAAAAAAAAAAAAAATAAAAAAATATACATTAAAATAATTTAGAATAAAACTACTAGTTTTTGTAAAATAGAAGTTTGTGCCGCATAGCCAATAGGACCTTACTTGAGCAGGTCAAAAAGTCTTAAGACTTTAAAAATATAGTAAAAAATTATTTTTAAAAATTCCTAGTAACAGAATTTGAATAAATTCATTATAAAATATATATTTTTTTTTTATCTTGAATAAATTATTTTAACTTTTTATTTAGATTTGATTACAAATGCCCAGATTTATACAACAAGGCAGATTTTGTGATTTCTATAATGAATTCTGATAGGGAACAAGTAAAAAGAAACATTGATGAAATGTGTAAGTTATCTTCAACGGATATACAAATGGATCTCAATTATGATTTATTTAATGACCAAGTAAAATAATTATAATTTTATTACGTTATAGTGATTATTGCATGAATTCAATCTACTCTTTTCCAGGTATTATTGGATTATACACAACATTTACAAATGTAAGTTAAAGTTTGTATAATAAGCAAACTTACTTTCATTGTATTATTTTTTTAATTTTTCATATTTCAATAAAATAACGTATATAATAAAATATTCACTACAATTTCTAGATTACACTTTATAGTGTAAATATTATTTTGATGATAATAAACATTATAGTGTGTAGTGTATAAAATGAAAAAAGAACTAATAAATTTACGATATAAATACATGTATAATAATAGGAAATATCCTTATTCTGAAAAAACTAACGATTTCTTTCGTATATTCAAAAGGAGATGAAATTGCTTAGTTTTACAAATTTACTATATACCTAACTTTAAATAACATAATATTTAATTTATTATTTTCCGTTTAAAATGTATGGGTTTATATTTTTGGTTTATTCTCTTAAACACTTAACTCAAGTTTGACAAGGTAACTGAATACTAATATTTTTCTTTTATCTAGACAAAAACCACTGTGGATTACACAGTTAATATTGATTTTAAACAGATCTGGAATATGTCTTTTAAGAAATTACAAAATAAAACTACTGGAATTGGGAACTATAATGGTAATTACTATTGTTATTAATTTATTTAACTAATTCTCAATGTTCAACATAAAAATACAATTTTTTTTCGTATATTTTATCTTTCATGCGAATGATACATTGGTTGATGCTCGTCATAACCGTAAATCATAAGTCGGTATGCAACCAAATATTATGAAAATCAATTTAGTATTTTTTTAGTATTTATATAATCAATTGCAGCACGATGGTTTATAAATACAATTTTGTCTGTATTACGGAAATAACAAATCGGTACCTAAATATATATTATTATACCTAATAGATATTATGTTGTACCTACTTAGTTTCTTGGTGTAATGTTGTCTACGCCATACATGAATCTGAAGTTTGATACTAAAGCCGTACAAAATTGGCAAGGATTTTGGTTCAGTTTAATCACGAATTCTATTTTCCAATATTGTTATACGTCTATTATAACCTACCAAGTTGAATTTCCAGTTATCCATCGAGAAGTCAGTAACAATATTTATGCATTGAGTGTATATTATATTTCTCAAATTGTCATAACGGTATGTATTAGAAAAAATAATATTATCATAGGATTTAACGCATTTCAATTTTTTACAGCTCATTTGGACAGTTCTAGAATCTATGATGTATACATATTTGGTGTTTTGGTTAGTAGGTATTAAATGGGAGCTATTGGTGGTGACAACGTTCGTAATAAATATGTTGATCTGTAGATCATATGGTAATTGTACACTTCTTAAGAAATAGAATACCTGAATAAATTATAATTCAAGAAACTTAAAAGTATATAATTTAATTACTGTTGTTATAATATGATTATAGGAAGTGTTCTATCGGCTTTTTTTGAAAAATTCGAAAATATTGTTATATTTTCATTGATATATGATTATCTTGCCGTAGCTCTTTGTGGCGCCTACATTTCACTTGGGTAAGTTTATAAAACACAAATACACTTTAGCAGGTAATAAATTCATGATACATAGATTATGCTTACCTAATCATTAATCATATGGGATTTTTATAAAATAAAATACCTAATATATTTGTTTTTTGTTTTAGAACATTACCATTTATATTGTATTATTTGAAATATTTATCAATATTTTTTCTTGGCTGTGAAACATTATCTATATTACAATGGAAAAATATCACATTCATACGTATGTTAAATAATAATTTATGCTACATTAATACCAATTATTTCCAGGACGTCATTTTGGTAAGCAAGAATGCTTGTATTTACATCCTAGAGATAGATAGATATTTTACCTACTCTTTATATACTTTACAGATTAGTTATTGAAATTGCTTTTTTTACACAAATAATATAGTTTTGATGGTTCTAGACATTTTTTATGGCAATAACGATCGTTTTTAAATTTAAAATCTGTAATATATATAGATATTTATTTATATTGAACATTTTAAGTAGGTACCTATGTATCAAATTCACAACTTAATATTAACTATTTTGATTATTATCTTCTGAATTTTATTTTGCATAATTATTTTTTAACTGAATTATTTTTTGATCTGAAAATGCCTATAGGTTAGGCACTTATTACTTTCCGAGTAGTTTTAATAACTGTTGCGAATTGCTGCCTATTGCAGGTAAATTGTTTGTATTTCACGCATATCTTAAAAATGACGTCCCTGAACCAATAATTTATCAAATTATACGTTTTGATTTTAGCTATTAATTATTTAATATGACATATATGTGTATACTTTAGCATGCCTAGATGTTAATAACTGCCTGCGCAATGGCAAGGAAGTTTTATTGAGTTACGGCTACGACATTGATCGCTACAACACGGATATCATCATTTTAGGAGTCTTTTATGTCGTTTGCTATATTCTTGGATATTACGGATTACTTAAGAGAATAAAAAAACAACCAGCTTATTGAATCAAGACTGAAATAAATAATTTTGTTTTACTGTTAAGTATAGGTATATAGGTACTTAATAGATACATTCATTTTCAACCTATGATTTATTATATTGAGTTTTATCATTAGCTCTATAGATTATCATTAATATCATAAAATGTATAATCATACTAAAGTACCTACACATGGTTGAATAAGAAACTTACAAACATCAAACAATAAAAAGCATTATAAAATATAATTATATAATTATATTATTGTATGTCAAGATTTTATTATTTATTTTATCTAAGTAATTTTCGTTACTCATGTTTACTATTAAATATATAATAAGTTTATTTATTTTATACTATAATTTATCTGACGTACATATATATTATTAAAATTAAAATTGTTTAAATGTTAATAATGCATTTATGTCTGGTTTATACATATTATGTTAATGTAATATTATATATTTACCTATCTAATGAATTATAACTGTTATAAATAGTAACATATTTACTATTGTTTAGTATTGTATATTTTACATATTACACAAACACAGGTGTACTTAAAACACAAACGATAACAATTTAATTTCGTTATTATACTAATAATTCTGATTTAAATTAACAACTTAACTTAGCCATCATAATATGTTGATTAAAGTTTGGTTCACTATCTTAATTGTTCCAAATACTTATTGAACTATAAATAGTTTTTAATAAAATTGTATTTTATTCAAAATATCACTAAAAAGTAAGAATACTTGTTTATCAATATTTATTGATATATTTCAAAAATAACATTTTGATAGATACCTACCTATACTAACATTACTAGCATCGATTAAATTTATATTATAATTAATAAATCCAGCTATAATAGATATTCAATAAATGGTGAGCTGGTAGATATATAAATAAATAATAAATATGTATGACAAAACTATTGAAAAAAATAAATAAAAATTAATAGATAAGGACGGTTTCATAAGATTTAACGTTGTATACATATAAAATTATACATTATATTTATATAAACATTTTGAGAAATATTATCTTATATATTTTATATAATGTTTAAGTAATAATAATTTATAACCTTTGAACTACTTAATCTATATTATAGATTTACATGTTACATAATAATTAATATTAATTATTATGTATGTAACATAATATTATGATAATTTTTTTTTTTAATTTAAGCGGAAGCATTAAAAACAATATATTATATCAACATATGGAAATAACACAATTATAATTACAATAAGTAATCAATGATTATATATATAACATAGTTGGATGGCCCATCTCACCACTGAGGATAACCTCTTATCGGTGATGATGGTGTACTATTAAGAGCTAAGTTGGTATACATTTATAAATTTTATAATATTTTAGATATTTCGTAAAAATTACGTCATGTCTGACTATAATTTAAAAATATAAATAGGCATACCTGTAGAACTAATTGTTAAAATAAAACTATAGTAATTAAAGTATAAATAATCAATAAGTACTTCTTGAATCGTGAACAAAATTATAAATAATATAAAGTAATAAACAAATGATAAGTTTTTTTAACAATATACATTTTCTTTCAATATACATAATTTAATGTCATTATAAAATAATATTTTTGAAAATCAAATTATATTATTTATTTGCTATTTACCCACATATTTTATCATCATTATAATATTATTTTATAAAATATGAATATTTATTACCTATATTATATTTATAAATCAATACTGTCAATACCAACGTACCATAGAAATAGCTCTTAGTATAAATAATTTTGTTATTTTTTATGTAAATATCTAATTTGTCAAAATTTGAACTAGAAATTATCTGTATAAATGTAAAAATGTAAAAATGTGAAAATGCGTATTTTCGAAAGTTTTAGGTTTCTATAAGTAAAACTTAAAAGGAACTATAAAATATTTTAAAACTTTTATATTCATAAAAATGTTATATCAATTATCATAGATAACAAAAAAAAAAAAAAAAAAAATTAAAAATAGAAAACTTCTAATGTTTATAATCAGCGTATCACACAAAGATCTTAAAATATGTTAAATATTATATCATAATTATAATACGTTAATTTTCAATATTTCATGAAAACTTCAAGTCTCTACAGATAAATTACAATTGAAAACAAAAAAAGTAAATTAATAAGTTTTAACAAATCTTTTTTGAGTAAAATGTCCGTTTATCTTAATTTTTGATTAACAATTTTGATATAATAAACTGCAGGGAGTACAAACTAGATTTGATTTACTATCTGTAAAATCATCATTTAATTTGATAATAGATGTATACTTCATATTACCTTAAAAGTTAACAACAGATACATAAAAAAAAATTCAAAAAACCTAATCAATAAACTATATTAATCTTCATATTTTAAAAGCTGGTTTTTATAGTTTTGAGTTTCGTACTTTTATTAATTATTTTATACTATACTCGATAACGTAACATAATATATACATCACAATCATAACATAAATATGTCTCATCAATCATAATTCTTTGGCATTTGGATGAAGACATTCTAATAATTTAAATATTATCTAAAAAAGAATTAATACTCTCTGACTCTCTACAATAGATACATACAAGGAACTTATTAATTTAATAATAGAAAAATCTAACATATCTACCACGTATAATTATGCATAATTATAATATATATTTAACTGTTAAAATGCTTAAGATTCTAGATATTACCAATAAGTGGAAGAGCATAATATTAATATGGATGTATAGTCGATATTTATATATAATTTTTGTTATTTTAGCCCACAAAAAATAAATCTGTCCCCATGTTTGATATTGTATACCTCAACCAATAGTTATTGTACCATAGTCAAATAGATATATATAATAAACATTTAAAAAAAATTAATAAGTGTTCAATAAATAAAAATCTATTTATCAACTCATTTTGTTACGTATTGACATCTAACGAGATAAAAATATGTACTACGATTTTTTTTTCTACTATATATTACGTAATAAGAATGAAGATTACTTTTAAACACGATCTAACTATAATAATATGGCATAGACATAATTTGAAGTGTAGAATAAACACAAGAAAGTTGTCACATCATACTGTGTAAAATGGATCACTTAAAAGGACGTGTTGCCGTGATCACAGGAGCTAGCGCCGGTATCGGGGCGGCAACAGCTATTAAATTAGTTGAAGCCGGCCTCACGGTTGTGGGAATAGCTAGGAGGCTGCATAGACTTCAGGTACCTAAATTTTAATATAATTCCTTCATTAACGACCTCATAGTAAAATCCTTAAATGGTTACTTAAAATATGTCTCTGTAACATATTGCTCAAATAATTAATAAATATGATATTTATCAATTATCAAATGTGTGTCCTTAGATCTCTTTGATTTTTTCTTACGTTAAAATATATTATTATTGTTATTTTTTTTTTTGTGATATCTATAGCGTATATTTATTATATTATGTGTAAATAGAAAAATTCTCAAATTTTCAACTTTGAAGATAATTTTTGTATAGAATGTATTCTAGTTGATATTTCAGGAAGTCAAAAATAAAAAGTTCCCAATATTTTTCTTAGTAAACCTTAAATAATAAGGAAAAATTTGAATTTTTATGAAAAACTAGTATTTGAAAACATCGATTTCGTTTTTTGGCTTAATTCAAAAATGAATAACTGTGACACTTGAAATTTTCGCTTAATGTTTTTATTAGTATTTTCTGTACATGGCATACATTTCAAAATATTTCAAAACTTTATGAACTATTTAAAGTGATTTAAAATTTTCTATTTTTTTTTTTAGATTTTCTTTCATAAATTTCTATCAAAAATTGTATGTTTGATAAAAAATATTTACAATCATATGAATAATTCATATTGAAATTCAAAAATCAAATAAATCTAGGCTATCATTTTTTTTTTTTTTTTTATAGACATTTAAAATTCAGATTTTGACAAAATTATAAAAATTTTAAGAAGACTAATGATTTTAGTTATTTTGTTGTAATTAAAAATTATTATTCATGAAAACTTAAAACTGTTGACGTATAATTATTATATTTGTTTTCACACAATGGCATTTTTAAATATTATATTTTTGTCAAAAATAAATCAACCTATTAGTTATTAATATAAAAATAAATTTCTCTAATAGCAGTATGAATATTATATCATTAATATATTTAGTATAGGCTAACTGACCGTATTTATTCGGAATTGTTTTTCATATGCAATGATTTATCATTGCATTCAAATTTAACTTATTTATCACAGTGATTTACTCATTGACGAGGTACATTAGACACCTGCAAAACAGAGCGGTTAGGTATACTAACTTTTCACCTTTTTATATAATAAATAGTAAACATATCATAAACCAAATATTTTAGCATCCCTTTAATGAAATGCATTTTATTACATACACTGTTTAATTTTTGCTTATGTGCATAATGGATAATAATAATTATGTTTTAAAATTATTAGGCTTTAAAAAAAATGATGGAAGAAAAAAATTTCAGTGGTCAGTTTTTTGTAGTGACGTGTGATTTGACGAACGAAACAGACATATTGAATGCTTTTAAATGGATTGACGAAAATATTGGTGGTATACATTTTATGGTCAACAACGCCGGAATACTAAGGATATCTAAAATTATAGGTAAGATAATCATTACGAATTGAGGAGAGAAAAAATTATTTATTTTTTATACCTATTTCAAATTAAAATACCTATCTGTTTCTAAACGTTTCACGAGTTTGTCTTAAAAAAAATATCTCATTTACTATCTCTTACATTTAATGAAACACCGCCAAAATTATCACAATTTAACCTTTGTTAAGTAATGTTTCTATGTTTCAATTATATCATGATAAAATATATTACAAGGTATTTGTCTATATAATTCTGAATTATAATTTTTTTAATAAATTGTCTATGCAAAACTATATTTTATAGACGGTTCGACTGAACATTGGCATGAATTAATCGACTGTAATGTATTAGCACCTGCAATCTGTTCGAGGGAAGCTTATAAATTGATGAAGAAGCATAACATTAGTCATGGACACATTATACAAATCAACAGGTGGATAACATAAAACATGCGTATTTTGAACATTTTATACTTATATGCTCTCTACGCAATAGTTTTAAATAAGTATTGTTTTTTTATACTGAATAATGTGCATCGATATAATTTGACGTGTGGACTGCAAAAGGAAAACAATTTATTTAACTTCTTGATAATTGTTCACGTGATTGATTGTGCCTACCTATACTAATTGTACCTAATACAAATATTATGAACAAATGTTAACAAATTTGAATCATCTATAAAATTATACTATTTTACTATTATTCTTATTCTTATTTCACTTATAATACGAATACACCATTATAATGGAAACATATTTGTTCATAAGAATTTTTTTTCATCACATATTCACATATTATTTTTACTTACATTATATGTATTATGTAAGCTAAATTATACATAGGTAGCATATTTTTCCAAAAGTTTTAAGTAATATTAAAAAAAATCAATACACATCAGACGTCCCAAATTCCAAGGACCTACACTATCTATAGTATATTTATAATACATTGTGCATTGTGTGATTAATTTCTTTCAGTTCTGTTCAGTTCTGTATTGTACATTATTAGAGTATAAAATATGTAATTGCAGCATTATAGACAGTTTACGAGTTTTTAAGGAACCCAAATTAATTTCCAACTATTGACACTTATTGATTGTAGATAACTTTAGTCTAAGTTTTTTCGTTTTTTCGTTTTTATATATAATATTAATTGTATATTTCAAACGGTTTCAGCATTACGGGCCATTCATATTCAATTAATCCGGGTAACAAGATTTACAATGCGTCTAAACAGGCTCTTAGAGTACTGACCGAAGGTCTCCGTCACGAATTGGCTGCGGCCGGTGATGGCCACATCAAAGCTTCCGTAAGTTTGTTTACCCGCGTGCAGTGGTATAATTATATGTATATATATTTGGGCAAGCCAGAGAGCGAAAGGGCAATCCGCCTCTCGGGCCCTTGATCATATTATACTAATAAAAATTATAAATATATAACATTATAAAACATCATTAATTTACTTTTAAGATAATAAGAATAATATGTAATCGAGAATATAAGTATTATGCAATAATGTTACCATGGATTTATAAATTCGAAAAATTCTATAAATTGAATATTATGGACAGAGTATTATATAGATAAGTGATGCACTTGCAATGCTCGTTATACAATTTAATATATTTTCATGAAACGCGTTCAACATAATACTTCAGTCCTAGATATTATAAACAGTACCTACATAATATGATAATAATTAATTAATTATTTACTTTTATTAATAATTTATTCTTATATTCATGATTTAATTTGTAAAAAAAATTAAATATGAAAAAAAAAATTACTCTATCGTATATTCAAATACAAATTTAAGTGTAATAATAACTAATAGCTCACTGGCCACTGCATTACGTATTCATAAATATTCTATGAAGCTAAGTAGATTATTAATTTTTTTATTTGATATTTAAATTAAATTTGTATTATGAAATAAATAGACTGCTCATTTATATATGCGTAAGTGTCAAAAAAATGTTGAATTGATAATTCTTGGTTCTAATATAGTTGATTAACCATCCCGGCCCTTTAAAATCCAGTAGTCCACTCTTAAACTAACCAACAAAAAACATTTCAGAAAAAATTACCAATATTAAATATTGACAAGATGGGTTCATCCTTTTGACGGTTTTAACATAATGTCGTGTATTATGTACTACTAGGTATATTGAACTTGTTTTGTTTATGTAAATTTATATGCAATGTAATATGGTTAATCTATAAAATTTTTCTAATAATTATGTTATTATACGGTAGTTCAGACAATTCATTCATTAGGATGATGAGAATAATCAAATGTATCCGTGAACACCTCCCCATTCCTCATTTCATACCTGTACTATAATTTTTATAATAGATTAGACAAAAAAAATGGCAATTGATCGAAATCCAAAAAAAAAAAATGCTTGGTTATCATTATAGGACAGTTGGTAATATTTAAAATTTTGATGTATAGAAAGCGATCCTTTTATCAAATAACACTCTTTATTTCAAAATCTTTTATTTATTTTTTATATATATAAATATAATTTCCTTTTAAAATAAAAGAACATTCAAAAATATGTATATTTTTTACTTTTTTGAATGACAATATATATTTTTTATTTCATCATATTCTGAAGCAGAATATTTTCTAGAGTATTTCGATCCATAAAAATCAAAATTCTGACGAATAATAAATTAATTTCATTTAAAATTTATGTAAACAGAGTAGTAGACCAACATTTTGAGGGATATATATATACCTCTTCACTCCGCTCAACTAAAATTTAAATAAGTTATTACTTACTATAACTCATTAACTATTTATTTGAATTTTTACTTTTGTGTATCAAATACTCCAAAAAATATTCTGCTTCAGAATATAAAATTAAAAATGTACGTTGTTGTTCAAAAAACTAAAAAATTAAAACAATGAAAATATTGAAAATATATATATATATTTTTTTTAAATGTTGTTTTATTTACAATCAAAAACTAAGTAAAATAAAATGTTTTCAAAAATTTTTATAAATTTTTAAATATTGAGTGTTGTTTGATAAACGAATTACCTAGCATTTATTGGTTTTTCTATCGGTAATGCGGTAATTAACCAATATCGAAATTCGGCAGATCTAGTTTCTAAACATGAACTTTAATAACACTCCTATATATTGTTGCAATAATTTAGGTATGCTTATATTGTTGTGCTTCAATTATGTTAATACTGCATGTGAAACATCGTGAATTTTCCGACAATGTTTACAATGTTTTTTGAAAACAATTATTATATTAATAGTATTTTATATGTAATTTTCCGCAGAGCATCAGTCCCGGTTTTGTCGATACAGAAATTTTCGATGCAGCCAATATGTCACACAATAAAATGAAGGGGTCTGAAATCTTGAGCGCAGAAGAAATGGCCGATATGATCTGTTTTGTCTTATCAACCGGACCAAATATATTAGTAACTACAATTTAAAATTTTTAATCGTAGAATTTGACATTTCACCATTTAAACAACGTCTTGTTATTAATTATTTATTAACTTCACATTGAATCAATTATTTTTTTTACAGATCGCTGAAATGGTTGTTCTAAGCCAAGGGCGTACCATCCAATCGTATCCACGCGCATAACATGTATGTAGCCAACAAACCGAAAAGTTATGTTTCTCTACATATATGAATAAAATATAATCACGTCATGATAATGTATTTAGAACGAATTTCACTGTTATCGTTCTAATAATATAAAATATTAACACTAAAGAATAAATGTATGATAGGTATACGTAAAAATTATTTAATACTAAACCGATTTGCTACACAAACATAAGCTATAAGCCTATATAAATTAAAATATCAATGTATAACAAACTTAAAATAATTGTCTAATTATTATTTTTTAACAAATATAAACATTACTAGGTACGTAATACATTAATACTATAAATGTATATGAATACCTAAATTATTATTTAAATATTTTGTACTGTTTTTGTTTTATAGTATGTACCTACCAACTTAATATCAATAATCAATATTATTTAGTTAATCAATGACATCTTTAATCACCTTAAAAGTTAAAACTTAGAGGGTGTCGAATTAAGCAGCGGTGACTTTTGCCTACACCGCAATACCAGTAAAATTTAATCTATAGAACTATTGATAGGTATATCTCAATCAATTTTTAACTCTGTATATTTGAAAAATATTCATGAACCATTATAATAAAATTTTTTAAATAAAAGTGCGTAAAATGACCAAAAATCTTTTAGCCGATTCTCATTTCAGCCGAAAAATATTTTATTGGGCAAATGTATAAGCAGTAGAACCGTATTATATATTAAATATCAAAAATACAATTTAAATTCATCCGGTTATATTCTCTTTTTGCAATTCTTACTCCTCTACCACCGTTAACTAGAAAACTTTTCCACAGCTAGAGTACTTAACATTACTCCATTATTTTCACCCATCACCTGAATTTATTGTATTATTTGCAATTTTTTTTCTTAAATAATTAATAATCAATCTTGATCAGGTTTTTTGATAGGTTAAACTATCTGACGTGCTACTGCACAGTGCAAATAGATTCGATTTGTTAGGAACGTCAAATTTTGATGAACTGGAAAAAATAAAAGGTTAATTAGAACTTGAACCACATCTATAGAACAAAAATGTTATATAACTACATAATTGTTAAATTTGCACTTCAAATTATTATTTTGGTTAATGTATAGGCGCGCGCAATTTTTAATCACGCAATAAAGCAGCTCATTTTTTGCTAATAAACAAAATACATTTTGAACAGCCAAATGTATTGATTGTACGATTCACTGCAGGTATAAGCTCTGTTATGTTATTACATTGCGTAACTTTTACTTGGTACAATTGTTCAAAGTATCAACATTTAATGGAAAAATTGGTTCAGATCCATTTCATCTACGATTACTTCTATCAAATAATGAATTGACTCGTCCGGTCTGCTGCTGGCTTTAACTAAACGACTAAAATTTGTACTACCACATCCCACAGGCTAATCAATCGGCCTCAAAATTTCATAGATGCAGGCGCAGCACATGAACCCGTGTGCACGCCTATGGTTTGCATTATATTTTTATATTGTTAGTTATATCGTGGAATAGATTTAACAATATAACTAACAGATATAACAGTTACATTTTATATTTTATGATAGGTACTATTATGTTCGTTTACCATTTGCTGAAAAAACTTTCCAACCAGTACCTAATACAAATAAACCTTGAACCATATCAACTATTGACGGTTACTAGAAATATATTAGGTTTATTTATGAGTTTAGGGTTTAGATCATAAATCATAATAAATAATAATTATTGTATAATGATGTATTATACAATCTGAGGTCTATGTAGTAATTCTTAGGCCTATAACTACAACGCCATCTACCGCCGGACTAAAGTCACTCATTAACCGCTAGCCCGCGCCGCCGCTTACTATCTTTTCGTTTTTACTATGTAAAAAATTATATTTTTTTTTTTTTATTGTGGAGTATGGAATCATTCACACTATTTTTTAGTCTGACATTTGTTTTTTAATAACATTGTATTCCATAACGCGTTTTTATTGAATTTCGTATAAGCCATTTTTATTTTTTTTAATGTTGATCACAGCATGTACTGGATTTAGAATGTCAGTTTTTTTTTTTTCAGTCATTGTGTTTTGGTAAAACATCTTAATAACTTATCATCGACATCGAGGGTAATTTTTGACAATATTTCCTATGTAGTTGCAAATTGTAATCCAATTAGGAATAATCCTAGAGACTACTATCAACATAATTTTTGTGAATATTTGAGACATAAGTTTCTAAACATTAAACAATTTGCAAATATTATAAAAATTAATTTTTTTTGTTCTTTTTAAGACTGGATTTAGTCATAGTCTCTATAGACATTTGAAATTTTCTCATTTTTTAACAGTTTTTTTTTTTTTTAATTTATATCAATTAAATATTTAAATCACTGTAAGAATTGTTAAGTATTAAATATTTAGTTCCTTTAGTTCCTTAAAAGTTGTTTTGACGTCTTATTTTAAAAAAATTAAAAAATATTGATAATCAAAATAGACTACTTAAATATATTTAGGTTATTTTTACCTATTCACGCCATTTTGTGGTATGACTTTGATAAGGAAGATGAAAATTTAATTAATTTTTAAATAATTATTATATCACAAAATTAAGTTATCTTTTCTTACAACTCCACAAGTTAATTTGAAACTTTAGATACATTATTTTTTACATATGTACAATAATGATTAATTGTTAAGCATTTTGTAAGAAATATAAATATGAAGCCAACCCTTTTTTTCTATCATTTCTATCAAATCAATTTCAAGTTTCCAAGTTTTATAAAATTATAATGAACACGGAACAGCTAATATAGAATATTAAAGTCCAATAATTCCAATGTCATATATATTGATTCAGTGGCGTATTTATGAGGGGGGGATCAAGGAGATAGATCCCCCCATAGGCTATATACACACATAAAAATTATAATTATAGTCATCATATTATTTAAAAAATTATTATTATTATTATTATTTTTATCAATAATTGATTAAATTTGCAATAATTAAAATATTATAATATATTGTACAATATTCTCATTGGTATCTTCATTTATAAAGTCATATCCCCCCCCCATGACAAAAACCTAAATGCGCCACTGTATTGATTGGTTTATTTGGCTCTTCGGAAGTTATGTTAGTAACAAATCCCGGTGGTACGTTACAATTATAGAATAAATGACCTGATAATATTTTAGAAATTAAAAATATAATATTTAGTACTGCACTACTGCATAAAAATATGATGTACATAATACATAAATAAGCACTTATACAGCTGTACAGCTTATCTACTCGTATGATTTTAAGTACCTATCATAATATTCATAATAGTTGATAATATTATAGTATTATGAAGTGATCAAGCGTATTTTCTATAAGCTAATTTATATATCCTTTTTACAATTTATACGCTGTAAGAAATATAAATACAGATATACACGGGCGAATAGCCTGTATAGGGGTTTATTTATAAACTATAATTATTATTTTTTTATACTCGTAACTAATAACATCACCACACACGGAGCGCTGAAGCTCACACTTATCGCAGATAGAAAAAACAGCGATGTTATGTGCGTTAGTTTTGTCTTTTATTTAATTCGTTTGCATTAAATGAATCTACAATATTATAGGTATTAGGTAAAGTCGGTGAAACTAGCAAGATTATGAAAAAAAAATAAAGTTTTAATTTTTGTATAGGTAGGTAGTATATAATATATAAAATGTGTACATCTACAAATATTTTGTGTGTATTATGTATATTTAAATCTAAATTAAATACAGTTTTTTTTTGTCATTATCAATATACTTTAAATTTTAACATACTTATGACCAAATTATTTATCCCTGGTTAAATTTTGAACCTGGCAAAAAAAAATTTCCTATCTGAAATATTGACCGAATCCGCCACCCCTTGTTATTAGCACTTGAAATTCGTATATTATGTAGTAATTATTGGGAAGTGTTTAAAAAGCTCAACCCCTACAATTAAATGTCATATTTTTTGGTGTTATGATTGACTCATTTTATACAAAAAAAAAATTAGCTTCTTCCCACTAAAATTTAACACAATGAACCTTTGTCTATGAGTTCCTACTCGAATTGTCTTCACTAATGTTAAATCCATAGACTTAAGTCGTGTTTATGTACTCTGACTCTGACAAGTGACAACTAGTAATGACGAAACTTGTGAATTTTAATTTTCTAAATAATTGATTTTAAACAAATAACTTCTTAAAAGTGTATATTTAACCTGCCGGTATACAATATTGTTCCAAACGCGTTATATGATTTGATTAATAGAATGTATAATTGACAAATCCAGCTTGAGTGATGCGCCTCAGAACAGTTTGGATAATTAAAATAGACCACGTCAGACAATGACCATTTCACAAAATTATTAGTCAAATAATTAATTGAAATCATACAGTGATATATTTTTTACTAAATAATATGATCGACAATTTATTTTTATTTTTATACTAAATATTAAACGTAAGCACTATGCTATATAAAAAAACAGTTTTTAATAAATAATATACTCGAGATTTAGTATCAACTATCAACTCCGTTTTGTTTCAGGCACGTGTTTATTCGTTTTAATAGAAATACATGTTCAAATTCTATCGTTAATTAAAATATAAGGTATAATAAGTTATAAAAAAACTAATACTCAATACAATATTATACAACACATGTGACCACACTTGTAGAGCACCTTATATAAATGTTTTTTTCAGTGCAAAGAAAAAACAAGTCACAGATTTTAATCGTGATGTTATTTGAATGGATTATTAATCAACTAAAAATTCAACTAGTTTTAAAAACATATATTCACATTTACTTGTATACCATCGTGTAGGAAAAACACAAAAAATTAAAATCATAATTTATATTATCTACTTATTACTGTAAAATAAACTGCGACAACATATTAAGTAGGTTCACCGGCCACCGCACGTGGACGTAGGTAGTTAAGATAACGACGAAATGTCGATAACGTTACGTCTCGTATAATAATAAACTTAAAATTAGTAATAGTAATAAATATTAAAATGTATAAAAATAAGATTTGAACGATTCCTACAAGGGGGTCTGACGGGGTCTGGTGGAAGTATCCATAGACACCCTCGCCCTAAATACGTCAATGGATAATGTATACAATGTATCCATTCATTAATATGTTATGGATCTATTTTCATAATTTTAATTATCTAAATAAAAAGAACTATTCTGTGCTTTATCTACATAGCCTTGTTATGCTAGGTTAATATAATTTATTGCACAAGTAGGTATTCAAAGGCAATACATGGCGCTAACTACCAAAGGTTACAAAAATTAAATATTTTAGAAATAGGATTGTAATTTGAAAAAAATGGCATTAATAAGACATTTAAATGAAATATAGGTACACTTAGCAGTTGTAGCACAATCTAATAAACACTATATGTAGATAAACCAAAACCATTAATTTTCCTATTGCCATCTCAAGATTAAGACAAAGGTAATTTTACAGTCTTGAATAATACAAGGGAGGCAATTGCACCCACATGCCATAAATGTAAGAACATAATATATTTGTAAAAATTATCGGATACCGTGGTCTAAACCATATTATATCCACAACCGATGATTAACTAATTAACCAAATCATTTTGTTCTTATGTTTTAATACTTCAATAAGATTTGTTAAATACAAATAAAATTATATTATTAAATTTAAGAGAAGTATTCAATATATGAGTAGATGACCTTACTTAAAACAAAAAATGGAATTAGGATAAAAATGAAGAACAAAATATAATCATAATATAAAAAGGCTTAAATCATTTTTATTTTATAATTATATAGGTATTTCATAAAATATTTAATAACAAAATAAGCATATAAATTACATTTAATATCAAATAATATTTAATTTTTTTTTACATATGCAAACAGAAAATATGTTTGTAATAAGTAAGCATAACCTAACTTTTTTGAAATTTCAATAATACGTTTAAAACAATAACAATTCGTATATATGATTAAATTTCATTAAAATAAATGTAACTTTACAAAACATTGTTTTCCTTTTATAAAAATATACACATAATGAAATACATCTACAATTTAACATTTACAAAATAAATTATAGTATTTATATAGTATATAATCTTATTCATAATATATAAATATTAGTCAAGATTCAATTGAGCAAGAAGTCAGTCCTTAGGAGACTTCGAATATATTTATATATTTTTTTTTTATTGACAATATATTATGATAAATTATTATAAGGCACATAATACAGAAAAACCTGACAGCACCAAAAAAAAAAAAAAATAAAATAATTTAGTTTACGGAAGACAAACAAATTTTGAGCAATTTTTTGAACTTAATTTTTTGGCACATGTTTTAATTGCTCCATTGAGCCATTTCAAATGAATTCAAAAGCTTTATTTGATACATCTAGCCTTAATATAGGAACTCTAACAAATAAATCTTAACATGTTATTATATTTATATTTTTATATATATATATATATATTTCATTTTTAGAATAATTATGTTTTAACATATATAAAAAAAAATTAAATTTTAAATTAATGAATCTTTTACAATTTAAAATAATTTATAGTATCAAGTCTTTTGAAAATGGTTTATTGCAAAGTTTTATAATATGGTTAATAAATAAGTTTTTGCTCCAATCCTATACTATTTAAGTAGTTAAAATACATATCTCAAGTGTTTTAAACTTCAAACAATACATTCTTAATTTGTATGGTATAATATGTTATAGCCTTAACATTTTAAAGAACGTAATACAATACAGAGTGATTCTGTACAATGTCTTAATGTCAATTTTATATGTATTTGTCATAAATAGAATAAAAAAAAAATAGATTCATATTCATAATATATATAAACATAAACACATTTTTTTCTTTTTCAACAATTTATATAATTTAAATTTTTTATACCATTGCTGGTATTAAAGATATTGATGTTAAACTAAAACTTTTAATAAAATAGTACTAATATTAAATAACACTTCAAATATCTTTTCTTTCAATTCAAACAGATCATCTGAAAAGTTCTTCATCTTTATTGATACTTACAGTTCAAGAATAACAAGCGAAACCCATGTGAACACATTGGTATTTCATACTGAACTTGGAAACCTGTAGTCCTGTTTGTTCCAATGTTGAGGGTACGATATGTCCAAAAGAGAAGGTTCTTTTGGTTCATAAGCGCACACTTTCAAATCCAATGAACAAGTCAGTCTTTGGGGTACAGGTCGCTCTACATAGCACGGTGGCCTGTAACAACACGGTGGCCAACAGTAGAATAGGGGATAATCTACGTAAGGATATCTGATGGGGTTGACATATAAGGGTCGCTCAGTAGATGTGACTGGAACCAAACATCGCCTTTTGCATGGATCGAGTTCCTCTTCTTCACGTTTGCGCTTAGTCAGATCTAAGCAAGTAGTGGACAAGTCCAGAGCAGAGTCTTCAGTGTCGGATAAGTCTTCTACATTAACATCACTATCTGAACCAGATGTAGTCTCTGCAATAGCTGCAGCTGCGGCAACAGCAACTGCCGTTACAGCATTAGCAGCAATTTTTTGGGGTTTGGGAGTGCCTGAAGCTTGTTGCACAGCCAATCGCAAGCTGGTTTCAGTCTGCAGCCATTTCTGAATCTGACGGCGATGAATACCATATTTGCGAGCCGTAGCTCGCTGATTTCCTTGGCAATCAGAGTCTTGTCGATATGAATCCAACACCTGTGTAAACATAAAATTGATAAAATAAATTAAGAAACAATTTGACGACAGTTATTAAAAATCACACCGAGGAGAATCTATGCACAATAATCAATACTGGCATAGTGTATTTTGTGCTAACAGTAGAAGTGGTGGTGGTTTCGACGAATGGTTCAAGTAGGTTTTACGCGGCACGGCTGAGAAGCCATCGCCCTGACGAGGCTGATTGACAGGCGGCGGGAATAACGATAACACCGATGGACGAACACAGCGTCGTATTTTTAATTTGTTTTGGCACGGGACACGAACAACGACGCGAGCGCGTAAAATCCGGTGAAATCGAACGGTCTTAATCGGCGGCGACCAGACGGACGGTTGACCGAATGGGAGCGGAGAGTGGTGGGAGGGTGAGGGTCAAAACTGTAGAACGTGTAAAATACAATTGTTGCGAGTGATAACGAAAAAATAATATTACCTGTAACTTGAACTGTGGAGGAAATATGCGCCTGGATCCGACTGGCGCCTTGGGTCGCTTTTCTTCCACCTTGCCGACGGGTTCATCCGGAGCGCCGTGGGCCATCTTGTCGGAGAACACAGCGATGTTACACAATACGAAACGATATTGTAGAAAATATAATTTTATGATGCGATTTATAACGCAATCGCGACGGTTTTAGTTATGCGAACAGAACGCAATAACAATAATAATATTATATTACGTAAAAATAACAAAAACGCGTGTACAATAACGTCGTGTTATTTATAACCGTAATACGCGATTATTATAATTCATATACAAAATATAATCAAAATATTATATTTCAATCAAAGCACGACACACGATTAACGCGGCGGAAACGAGAACGTCCAAAACGGAGAAAAAAAACTCGATAAAACGGAGCGGATTTATATTATTATTATTGTTGTTGTTGGTATTATTATTATTATTATTATTATATAATTACATTAAATATAAATAATAATAAATAATAGAATTAAAAACGTAAAACCAAACAAATAATAACCGAGAGAGTCTGACGGTCGTTACGGACTGCGTGCGTGTGAGTGAGTGAGCGAGTGCGAGTGTGCGGCGGCGGCGGCAACAACAGCAGCGGCAGCAGCAACACCAGCGGCAGGAGCAGCAGCAGCAGCAGCGTTGTAGGTTTTTCGAGTAGTGTGTGCTGCATCGGTACTTTGCCGTTCCGGTTACGTATTGCTGGTGCATTCACACAAATTCACACCCCCGCGACCACCTCGTCGCCGGGCCACGACCAAACGGTCGTCGCCACCACTGCCGCCCTCCTGTCAGCCCCGCGGCCCACCGACCCATCCCCGCCGGACGAGAGGATTCTTGACTCGCCGTTCGCGGTGTGCGCCTCGTCGGCACGGACCATCCAGCCGTGTTGGCGACAAAGCCGTGA